ATTCTTTGTAGGTAGTGATATATGTGTTCATCACAGCATTGTTTGTAATAATAAAAAGTTAAAGCAATCTAAATAATTGGCCAATACACTGGCACATCTGTACAGTAAAATGAAATTCAGTAGTCATTAGAAATGATGCTGGAAGTATATAGATACTAAAATGAATGTAAATAATATTATTTATTTTTTTAAATTTTTAATTTAACATTTTTTAAATGTTAAACATAAACATAATTTAGAATTTTAATTTAAGTTAACATATACCATATTATTAGTTTCTGGAGTAGAATTTAATGATTCATCAGTTGCATATAACACCCAGTGCTCATTACATCAAGTGCCCTCCTTAATGCCCATCACCCAATTACCCCATCCTCCCCAACTCCCCTCTCACAACCCTGAGTTTGTTTCCTAGAGTTAAAAGTTTCTTGTGGTTTGCCTCCCTCTTTGTTTTCACCTAATTTAATTTTTCTTCCCTTTCCCTATGTTCATTTGTTTTAATTCTTAAATTCCACATATGACTAAAATCATATGGTATTTGTCTTTCTCTGACTGACTTATTTCTCTGACTGGCTTAGCATGATACCCTCTAGTTCCATCCACATTATTGCAATGGCAAGATTTCATTCTTTTTGATGGCTGAGCAATATTCCATTGTGTATATATACCATATCTTCTTTATTCAATTATCTGTTGATGGACATCTAGGGTCTTTCTATATCTTGGCTATTGTGGACATTGCTACTATAAATATTGGGGTGCATGTGCCCCTTGGGATCACTATGTTTGTATCCTTTGGATAAATACCTAGTAGTGCAGTTGCTGGGTTGTAGGGTAGTTCTATTTTTAACTCTTTGAGGAAACTCCATACTGTTTTCCAGAGTGGCTGCACCAGTTTGCATTCCCACCAACAGTGTAAAAGGTTTCCCGTTCTCCGCATCCCCACCAACATCTGTTGTTTCCTGTGTTGTTCATTTTAGCCATTCTATAGGAGATGGTATCTTATAGTGATTTTGATTTGTATTTCCCTGACGATAAGTGATGTTGAGCATCTTTTCATGTGTCTGTTAGCCATCTCGATGTCTTCTTTGGAAAACTGTCTATTCGAGTAAAGAAAGGGTTAATGTACAGGAAGGGAGAAATAGGGGGCCCCTGACTAGGCTCTGAAACTATTCCTAGCAGGCAGAAGCACTAAGATAGAGTGAACAAGAGATAAGGGAATAAACCTGACCACCTATTCCTGGATGTTAGGGAGTATTTTTCTTTGGCAGCTATATTGTAATCACAGAAAATGACCAGAACTCAAAAGAGTAAGTAATTAAAGATGTTAGCAGTAGTCCTTTCTCAAATCAAGACAGTATAAGAATCTCAAGGCCACAAGCTTTCTGGTCAAGTTTTCAATAAAAGACCAGCCCTAAACACCCTCAGTGGCAACCCATTCAGGTCTTCTCTCAATCTAGAGATCTTTTTCTTTCCTTTCTGCTCTCACCTTCACTTAATAAACTTACACCTCACTTCACCCTTTTGTGTCCATGAGATTCATTCTTCAACTCCATGAGACAAGAACCCTGCAATCCTCCAACAATGTGCCCATTTCTTAATTGGATTACTTGTTTTTGGGTATTGAGTTTGATAAGTTCTTTATAGATTTTTGATAAAAACCCTTCATCAGACATGTCATTTGCAAATATCTTCTCCCATTACATAGGTTGACTTTTAGTTTTGTTGATAGTTCCCTTTGCTGGACAGAAGCTTTTTATCTTGATGAAGTCCCAATAGTTCATTTTTGTTTTTGTTTCCCTTGCCTCCAGTGATGTGTCTAGTAAGAAGTTACTGCAGCCAAGGTCAAAGAGGTTGCTGCCTCTGTTCTCCTATTGTTGGTTCCCTGTCTCACATTGAGGTGTCTCATTGATTTTGAATTTATTTTTGTGTATGGTGTAAGAAAGTGGCCCAGTTTCATTCTTCTACATTGCTGTCCAGTTTTCCCAACTCCATTTGTTGAAAAGACTGTCATTTTTCCATTGGATATTCTTTCCTGCTTTGTCGAGGATTAGTTGACCATACAGTTGTAGGCCCATTTCTGGGTTTTCAATTATGTTCCATTGATCTATGTGTCTGTTTTTGTGCCAGTATCATACTGTTCTAATAACTACAGCTTTGTAATATAGCTTGAAATTCAGAATTGTGATACCTCCACCTTTTCTTTTCTTTTTCAAGATTGCTTTGGCTAGTCAAGGTCTTTTGTGGTTCCATACAAATTTTAGGATTATTGAAGATGTATTTATTCATTTGAGAGAGAGAGAGAGGGAGAGAGAGTTCATGTGCAAGTTGGTGGAGGGGGAGAGGAAGAGAGAGAATCCTCAAGTAGACTCCCTGCTTTGCTGAGTGGGAAGCCTGACATGGGGCTCAATCCCAGGCCCTGGGATCATAACCTGATCAGAAATCAAGAACTGGATGCTCAACCGACTGAGCCACTGAGGCACCCCTTAGGATTAATTGTTCTAGCTCTGTGAAAAATGCTGTTGTTATTTTGACAGGGATTACATTAAATGTGTAGATTGCTTTAGGTAGTATAGACATTTTAACATCATTTGTTATTCCAATCCATGAGCATGGAATGTTATTCCATTTCTTTGTGTCCTCTTCAATTTCTTTCATACATGTTCTATAGTTTTCAGAGTACAAGATCTTCTACCTCTTTGGTTAGGTTTATTACTAGGTATCTTAGGTTTTTTGGTACTATTGTTTTATGTTTGTTTGTTTGTTAGCTTTTGTTTTTAAGTAATCTCTATACCCAACATGGGGCTCAAACTCAAAACCTGACATCAAGAGTCACGTGCTCCTCTGACAAGCCAGCCAGGCACCCCAGTTTTTGGTGCAATTGTAAATGGGATTGATTCCTTGATTTCTCTTTCTGCTGCTTCATTATTGGTATAGAAATGCAACAGATTTCTGTACATTGATTTTGCATCCTGTGACTTTGCTGAATTTGTTTATCAGTGGAGTCTTTTTGGTGGAATTTTTCAGGTTTTCTACATAGAGTATCATGTCATCAGTGAATAATTAATGTTTGACTCCTTCCTTGCTGATATGGATGCCTTTTATTTTCTTTTTGTTGTCTGACTGCTGAGGCTATGACTTCTAGTACCAAGTTAAACAGTAATGGTGAGAGTGGACATCCCTGTCTTGTTCCTGACCATCCTCAGCTTTTCCCCATTGAGGATGATATCAGCTGTGGGCCTTTCATATATGGCCTTTATGATGTTGAGGTATGTTCCATCTATCCCTACTTTGTTGAGAGTTTTTATCAAGAATGAATACTGTACTTTGTCAAATGCTTTTTCTGCATCTATTGAGAGGATCATATGGTTCTTATTCTTTATTAATTTAGTGTATCATGTTGATTTATTTGTGAATATTGAACCACCCTTGCAGCCCAGGAATAAATCCCACCTGATTAAGGTGAATAATTCTTTTAATGTACTGCTAAATTTGATTTGCTAGTATCTTGATAATTTTTGCATACATGTTCATCAGGGACACTGGCCTATAATCCTCCTTTTTAGTGGGGTCTTTGTCTGGTTTTGGAATCAAAGTAATGCTGGCCTCATAGAATGAGTTTGGAAGTTTTCCTTCCATTTCTATTTTTTGGAACAGTTTGAGAATAGGTATTAACTCTTCTTTAAATGTCTGGTAGAATTCCCCTGGGAAACCATCTGGCCCTGGACTTTGGTTTGTTAGGAGATTTTTTATTATACTGATTCAATTTATTTGCTGTTTATGGGTCTGTTCAAATTTCTATTTCTTCCTGTTTCAGTTTTGGTAGTTTGTAGGTTTCTAGGAATTTATCCATTTCTTCCAGATTGCCCAGTTTGTTAACATATAATTTTTCATAATATTCTCTTATAATTGTACTTCTGTGGTATTGGTTGTGATCTCTCCTCCTTCATTCATGTTTTTATTTATTTGGGTTCTTTCTCTTTTCTTTTTGATAAGTCTGGCTAGGGGTTTATCAATTTTATTAATTCTTTCAAAGAACCAGCTCTTAGTTTTATTGATCTGTTCTACTGGTGCTTTTTTGTTATTGTTGTTGCTTCTGTATCATTTATTTCTCCTCTATTCTTTATTATTTTCCTTTTTCTTCTGGCTTTAGGCTTTATTTGCTGTTTCTTTTCTAGCTCTTTTAGATGTAAGTTAGGTTGTGTATTTGAGACTTTTCTTACTTCTTGAGGTAGGCCTGTATTGCAAAATACTTCCCTTAGTCACTACTCCATGAAGCAGTGAGACTGACAAGATTGTTTCTAAACCTGAGAAAATGAAGTCTAGAAAATCCATAAAAGACTTTTTGTGAGGTCTTTTGACTGCTAACCAGTCAGCCTTTTCTTAGCAGTATCCTGAAATCCCTGGGCACATTCTCTTTGAGTTTTCACACAGTGCAAGGTAATCTAGACCATAAACCATGGACGATTTAAGTAGGTTACAGAGACATGATTAGATTCAAGATTTTAAAGTCATCCTCAGTAAGACCTCCAATTTAGATACTGGACTTCTGCTGTGACCACATAAATTCTCTTTGCTCTAGGCCAATCCTAACCCCCTACTCCCAAAAGGCACTGGCACTCAAACACAAACCCGAAAGTTTCATAAATAACTTTCCCACATAATACTCCTCTACCCTAGGTATTTAGTACCTGGGTTTAGTTGTTATCCACAGTTCCATAGCCTCATGATTTGCAGGGAAGATCCTGTCTCCCCAGCTCACTGAACTGCTGTTCTCACCCGAGTCCCATGATTCATAGCAGCCTCAGCCCATCAGAGCAGCAAGGGACATACACTGGTCTGTTGGCATTCATAGAAGATTATCATACCTAACAATCTAATACTATTTCTTCAATTACCCCAGCCCCATACAGGATGGGGCTTGATTTCAAAAAGAAATCTGATTATAGAGGAAAAGATTTTTCCTCTCTCCTGCCCCCCCCCAAAGCATCATTACTCACCTAAGGAAAACTTCTTCCATGGTAGTGATTGAGACGCCAAAGCTACCAATGCCCAGCTCTTTCTGCCTGTTTTCCAGATCAGTAAGCAGGTCTTTAAACCTAGAAGAAGAAGAGAGAAAGCTACCACCAAAACAGATTACTTTCATATTAGTATTTCTTGCTCCTAATTAATTTACTTCAGCAGTGGGAAAAATGTAGCTCATCCTTCACTGCAATGCTTACTACAGTTCCCATAGCTCTGATGAATCAAAATGTGGAACATATAAAGGGAAAAAACTACCAAACTGCTATCATAAACTGCTTCCTGGTTTTCTGATAAAATTATCAACTGACTTTCTCTACATATTAACATTCGTCTCTAAGATTTGATTTACTTAATATATGCCATAGTTCCTATAAAATACTAAATCAAAAAAGAAAAATGTTTTCAAATTATTTGAAGAAGAAGAAACTTAACACAGAAAATGAAGTAAAAATAACAGAAAGCAGGGGCTGGAAGAGAACGTTTCCTCACATTACCAGTAAGTTTTGTGCCATTTCAGGAAGATGTGATGGAGTGTCATGAAGGTTTCTGAAGAATAGTTTTTTTTCCCGAGATTTATTTTTCTCTACTTTAGAAGATCATCCACTCCAGAAACCTAGTCAGTTGTTGAACCTATCTCTACTATGCTTTCTCTAAGGAGTGAACATGACCACAAAAAGAGACTGAAAATTCTCCATTTTGGAAAATTCTATCAAAATTTTCTCTATTTTTTGAGCCAAACATTAGATTCAATTCACTCTATCTCATAATTAGTGGGAAAAGTAAGTTTCAGAATATTACTCTGATATGCTTATCAAGATAATAATAAATATGCATGTAATATGCACACATGTATATCAGTATATGCACAGCAAAATCTTCTAAAATTTTTAAAAATTCTGAACCACTTTATTGAGGCATGATTGACATACATACATACATATAAACTGTACATGTTCAATATACACAATCAAGGCCATAGACAGATTCATCAGCTCCCAAAATTTCCTATTTCATTTATTCATTCTTTCATTCATCCATTCATTTTTGTAGTAAGAACACAATATAAGATCTACCCTTGTGGAAAATTTTAAGCACACAATACAACATTGTTAGCCAAAGGCACTATGCTGTTTAGTAAATCTCCAGAACTTACAGTTATTAAAAAAACCTGAAACTTTGGATCCTTCACAATCTCCTCCCCATTTTTCTCTCCCCACAGCTCCTGGAAACCATGATTCTACTCCCTACTTCTATGAGTTTGAGTATTTTTGATTCCACATATAAGGGAAATCATACAGTATTTGTCTTTTTGTGTCTGGTTTATATCACTTAGCATAATGTCTTCTAGATCTGTCCAACCATATTGTCACAAATGGCAGGATTTTCTTCTTTAAGGCTGAATAATATTTCATGGTATATATATACCAATTTTCTTTATCTGTTCATCCATAGATGGACATTTAGTTTGTTTCCATATCTTGGTTACTGTGAATAATGCTGCCATAAACATGAGAGAGCAAGTATGTCTCTTTGAGATCCTGGTTTCAATTCCTTTTGATAAATACCCGGAAGTGGGATTGCTGAATCATATGGTAGCTCTATTTTTAATTTTTTTTGAATAATCTCCATACTATATTCTGCATAAAAAAGTCTTAAGCAATATACAACAAACTCAAATCTTAAGAGTAACTATATCTAAGGAGAAGGATTATGGGATCCTTTTTTTAATTCATTCATTGTTGTAATGAGAAACTTTAGTAGTAATTGTGTTTTCATGTATACATGTTGGTTAAACAGCAGACTCTGGCCTCTTTAGGGCTGGTGAAATCAGAAAACAAAACAAAAAATTTTAATGAATCCTCAAGCATTATTATCCTTTTTTCTCATAAAAAAAGTAGTAAATACAGAAAATGTGGATAATACAAATATTTAAAGAAGAAAATAAAAAGTTTTACTACCCAGAAAAAAACACCACTGTTAACAATGTGATATACTATCCATTTTTTATCTTTTATTTCCTTATTTTGCATATTAGTATCCTACATTATAGGATTCTATACCCAAATCTTAAATTTAATGTTATGCGTGTTTTTCTATGAAAATATAAATTCCAAAGATTGATTCATATTCCATTCTATGAATGTTTTATAATTGAATTAAGTTTTCTTTATTGTTGGGAATTTAGATGTTTCTAGATGTTTCCTTAGAAAACAATTATGTCCTGGAATTGTTGGGTCAAACTTTGTGAATATTTTTAAGAGTTTCCCACTACGAGTATATAAAGAGGAAATTTCACAAAATGATTATCAACGTTTACCATTATGATTTCAGAAGTTTTTCTTCCTTGGGGCACCTGGGTGGCCCAGTCAGTGAAGTGTCAGGTCATGATCCTGGAGTCCTGGGGATCGAGCCCCACGTTGGGCTCCCTGCTCAGCAGGGGGTCTGCTTCTCCCTCTGCCCCTCCCCCCGCTCCTTCTCTCTCTCTCTCTTGCTCGCTCACTCTCTCTCAAATAAATAAAATCTTAAAAAAGTTTTTCTTCCTCTAAAAGCAAAAAAAAAAATTCTAATAAAATCTAGCTTAAATTTGTTCTAGTATTACTAATGATTTAGAAGAATGTTCTATATAGAGAGAAAATTTCCATATCTTTTAATGAAAATACTATTTTTCTTGATACAATTTAAATACTAATTTTCTTGATACAAAGTAATGTTTAACTATAGAACATTTAGAAACTATAGATAAAAATGTACAAATATAGGAGGATGACAGAGGAGGAAGATCCTGAACTCACCACATCCCATGCACACACCAAGGCAACAATTATTAATTCTGAAAGCAACCTGAAGACTGGCAGCACAGATCTTCCACAGCTAAAGACATAGAGTGAAGACCACATCAAGAAGGGAGGGAGAAGTGAAGATGTAGTCAGGAACCAAGAGGATTGAACCCCACACCAGACACCCCTGGCCCTGGGGACCCACACTGGAAAGATGAGTCCCCATAACATCTGGCTTTGAAAATGAGTGAGGCTTGACTCTGGAAGCTTTAAAAATTATTAGGCTTACCTCTTGAAGAATCAGAGGGCAACAGGAAACTGAGTCCCTGTTCTTAAAGAGCCAGCATACTAAATAACTTGGCCAGAGAAATAGCACAGATGTAGCAGCTTGAAAGGTGCCATGGGTATACGTGAAGATTTATTCACTAATTTAGGACATATGTCGGAGGTGGAAGGCAGGGATCTGCAGATTTCTCCAGGAACAAAAGTGCTTACAAGGCATCATTTTTCCTGCCTTCTCTCAACCTAGATAGCCAGAAAGCTTACAGAAGCCAGTTCTAACACAATTTATCTACCTTGTTAGAACTGTGAGGTCCACCCCAACATTCCCTTGCAGATCCACACCACTTAACCCGACTGCCTCAGCAGGTGCTCCTGCAAAGTGACTCATGCTCTGGGAAGAGTGGGGAGATAACCCTGCACACCAGCACACCCACAGTTCCTGCTGCCAGGCCTCTTAGCTGTCTGCACAGGGAAAAAGCCCTGCCCTTATATGTGCCTGCAGATGTCACAGTGGCTAACTGCAGAGGGCCAGGCTGGCCATGCCCATGAGAAATCTGATGGTAGCTACAGCTGGGCCTCTCACAGCATAGAGAGCAAACCCTGCCCAGTGCCCCAGCAGCAGGCGAGGCAGGCTGTGGCAGTCATAGCACTGAAGGCCAGCCCCACTTATCAGCATGCCTACAGCAATCACAACTCAACCACAATAGGAAGGAGCATGTAGCCCACACAAGGGACACCCTTGGCACACCTAATTCTAGTGACCAGGGAAGATTGCATTACCTGGCACCACAGTATGCCTTCTACACAAGGCCACTTCTTTCAACACCAGGAGATGTAACTGACCTGCCTAATACATGGAAACAAAGAGAGTCAGACAAAATGACAGAGGAATATGTACCAAATAAAAGAGCAAGCCAAAATCACAGTAAAAGAGCTAAATGAAATGCAGATAGGCAATATGACTGCTCAAGAATTCAAAGTAATGGTCATAAAGATACTTGCTGCACTTAAGGAAAGAGTGGAATTCAGTGAAAACTTCAACAAAGAGATAGAAATTTTTAAAAGAACCAGTCAGAACTGAAGAATTTAATGACTGAAATGAAAAATACACTAGAAGGAATGAACAGCTGATTAGACGATGCAGAAGGATGAATGGATCAACAATCCTGAAGATAGAGTAATGGAAAGCAACCAAGATGAACAGCAAAAAGAAAAAAAAATAATAAAAATTAGAAAAGATTAAGGGACCTCTGTGACATCAACCATAATAACATTTGCATTATAGGGATCCCAGAAAGAGAAAGTGGGGGGAGAAAACTTATTTGAAGAAATAGTAGCTAAAAACTTCCCTAATCTAGGTAAGGTCCAGGAAGCACAGTAAGCCCCAAATAAGATGAAGCCAAGAAGGCCCACACCAAGACACATAGTACTTAAAGTGGCAAAAATTAATGATAGAGAATCTTAAAAACAGCAAGAGAAAAGTTACATAAAAGGGAACCCCCAAAAGGTAACCAGCTGATTTTTCAGCAGAAACTTTGTAGGCTAGAAGAAAGTGGCAATGATATATTCAAAGTGATGAAAGGAAAAAAGCTACAACCAAGAATACTCTATCCAGGAAGGATATCATTCAGAACTAAAGAAGAGACAAAGAGTTTCCCAGACAAATAAAAGTTAAAGGAGTTTCATTACCACTATACCAGCCTTACAAGATGCTAAAGGAATTTAAGTGAAAAGAAAAGGTGATGACTATCTGTAAGAAAATTATGAAAAGAAAAATATCTCACTGGTAAAAGTGAACATATGATAAAGGTAGTAGATTAATGACTTATAATGCCAGTATTGAGGTTAAATCACAAAAGTAATAAAATCAATTATATCTACAAATTTAGTCAAGAGATACACAAAATAAAAAGATGAAAATGAAATCACATACATAAAACATGCAAGAGGAAGTAAAAATTTACTGTTTTTAAAACATGTTCAAACTTAAGTAATCATCAACTTAAGACACACAG